ATTTCATAAAATAAAAATGTCTTTTTTTATGTTAAGGCACAAAACAGCAAAGATGGACGTCTCGAAAATCTGCAGAGAATGTGTGTTCAAAAGCAGAATTTAAGGATTTGTTTAACCGGAAGTCCTACGTGACCGAATGGTTAAGCATGTCAGAACTAATGACAGTTCCCCATTAGGGGATGCAGGTCGAATCTTGTTGAAAGTCGCATAATTTCTGAGAAGATTTCTGGAATATTCAGACTGGTAAATGTCATTAAATAGAAATACTGTTTAATTAAATAAACAGAGCATTTACTCGAAGCATCAGGAATCCATAAGAAATGTATCTGTTAACTAGCCATTTTTATTTACAATTAGCCACAAACCCGCCCTTAGCTCTCTTGCGTAGAGCTTTTAGGCCTCCAGCCTTTTACCTTCAGTATCCTATATAAAAGTTATAAGAATTTAGAAATAATAAAATTATTTTATCTTTATTCGACACCTTAATTCGGCATAATCTTTTTTTCGTACGAGTAACTGAACTCCATAGTTTGTTTATTTTGCGAGCAATTTTTATTTTCTTAAAAACAAAAACAGCATTCTTTATAATCTCTTCACATATAAAGTCACTCTTAAAAACATTAAGGAATCCGAACTATGTAATATTTCGAATACGCCACAGTACACGTGCTAGAAACAGAAAAAGAAAACATGGCTAACGTACCGTTAAATTTTAATTACATAAGACAATATTTATTGCAGTTGCAACGAAAAGCGAGATTAAAGTTAAACCTTTAATAAAGAACTGGTTTTTAAACTGTTCGTTATTTAAATTTAACTTTAAATGAGTTATTTATTTAATTTTTAATCGCGTGTAACTACAGTAGTTACGACCTGGTACTTCGGATTTTTATGATTCGCCGAGATTAAAACAGACAGACGGACGCACGTTACACAACGCTTTATTATTATATATCGATATAGATAGAAGATTAAACTGAAGAAAAAGTTCATGCGGACATTAGGATGGTTAAAAAAACAATAATGCTGTAAATAACTGATAAATATTAATTCATCTATTGTTCTCGTGATTAGCGTTTGAGTGAATGCGAACGGGCCAGTGAGCGAGAGTGTGTAATACGCATGCGCGACTGTGTTTAAGAGATACGCATGCGAAAATCGCGTACACGAAGAACGGGCGGACAAATGTACACTGTACTTTAATATTACGGAAGAAGAAGAAAAATGATTAACTTTGAGAAAAATTATTCAGGCAAACTTTACGCTAGTAAAAAAAAAAATAATGCTGTAAATAATTGATGAATATTAATACTGCTAAGGTTCTATTCATTTGACGTAAATCCCGAAATCGAAAAACGGATGGCAAAAAACGTAAACTGCGCTTTATTATTATAGAAGAAAGAAAATAGAAGAAGATTAATTTAAAGAAAATGTATTCGAGCAGACTTTAGGCTAGTAAAAAAAAAAGTAAAAATACTGTAAATAATTGATGAATATTTATACTTCTGTTGTTCTCGCGATTCTTTCTTTTTATGTGCCATGTCTTTTCAGGACGTAGGCGATCATGGCTCTCCACCTTTCTCTATCCCTAGCAGCTCTCATCAAGTTCCTTCAATCTTCTTCTTCTCCAGACCACATTTTGTCATCCACTTGCTCAAACCCGCCAGGTATGTCTTGCGTTGTTTTCCCTTCTCTCATTCCCTCTATTCGACCAGGCCCTCCTTCCTCATTATGTGTTCAGCTGCCTCTTTCTGATATTAAGTATAAGTCCCCCCCCCTCTCTAAGACCTCTTCATTGCTCACACGCTTGGTCCATGATATCCTTAGCATCCTTCTGTAGAACCACATCTCTGTCGCCTCGAGTCTGTTCTTCATCGGTGAGGAAATCGTTCAACATTTGCTGCCGTAAAGAAGGACACATGTCATGCAACAGCTCTGTATTCTTTTCTTTGTTACTAAAGAAATCCTCCTGTCTCGAAATACTCTGCTCAGTTTTTGGAATGTGTCCTTGGCCATTTCAATATGTCTACAGATCTCAGTGTCGCACTTACCGTCCTCTGTCAAAACGCTTCCAAGATATTTAAACTTCCAACGGACCCGTGAGCGAGTGTGTATTACATATGTGCCGCTGTGTTTATTCGACGCGGATGCGTAAATCCCGAGATCGAAAAACGGACGGACGGACGGACAGACACACGTACACTACGCTTTATTACTATAGGTATACTTTACGCGTTCGCTGGTTCTGCCTTTGTTTTAGTCTTAAAACTTTATCGACAGATAATGGACGACCTATTTTAAGAATTCAAATTACTTTTGGTAACTTCTTTAATGTTCCGCTTCCGTTGAGAATGCAAGCGATCATATCTCTCTCCGGTATATATGTTTCTGCTATACGTTTTTGCCCTGCGTTATTTTTGCCTTCTTACTATCCTTTCTAATACCTATTCTATCATCCAGTTCTTTTAGGGCCATGTCCCATCAGGAAATGGGCGATTATGGCTTCCCAAAATTTCTTGTCCTTTGTAGCTCTTAGTAAATATTGTCTTTCTGTTATTTTCCTGAAACCTGTCCCGCCATCCATTTACTCAAGCTCACTATGTTCTAAATAGTTTTCCTCTGTCTCTATTGTTTTCAATCTCTCCTGTCAGTATCAGATTTTCCAAGCCCTCTTTCCTCATTATGTTCTATAAAAACCTCAACTGCCTCTTCTCGATGTTAAGTATGTTTCCTTTTTTTTTGCATTTTCCTCAAATTAGATAGCTATTCACTTGCTAGCTCTGTCCTGCTTGCATTCAATATGTCCCATCAGTGTCAAATTCTTCAGAATCTGCTGCCTCATTATTTGCGCTAGAAATGTCAACCTTTTCTTTCTAATTTTTATCTCTAATTGATTGAATGATTCATTTTCTACGGTTTATCAACCCTTTGCAAGTTATTTAAAGCCAGAAAATACTTTTAGATTGTAAGAAATTTTTAAAATCAATTTACACCAAAGAAGGCGATAATGCCACTCAGACGCAAGGTGGCTACTGGGAGTGAAAGTGAATGAAAATACTTTTAAAGGAACCGGAAACCGAATCCTAAACAGGGAAGAAATGATGAACTTCTCCGTCTATTCAAAATGTTTAACAGGACGACAATCGAACATATTTACTCCTATTGTAAGCGAACCTATCTACTTCTAATTTAGGAGGAAACGAGATGGTTTCATGCCTTACACAAGGGTATCTGCGCTTAAGTGAATATAAAAAACCCAATCGGAATTAGAACCTGGCTCTCCGATAAACAGTTCCAAGCTATTACACCACCCGCATATCCAAGCTTACAGCACTTGGTATTCCCAAGCGGTTACCTATCTAGGTACTGACCAGGCTGGACGTTGCTTAACCTTGGGGGTCGTACGGGAAACGGCGTTTTAATGTGATGTGGCTGTAAGCTACCTCGAATTATATGTGGCATTTTTATTTCTTTTTTCTCTTAAAACTTTGTCCATGGTATTCTCAGCATCCTTCTGTAGAACCAAATCCGAAGTCTTCCTTCCCATATCGCTCGAAGCACATGTAACTATTTACCATCCTGTCATTATCCTTGCTCAGCCGTTCATTCACTCATTAGGTAAGCTACTCATTCTTCTCACTCTACTTCCGGCTCCATATTTACCAGCCGACTTTGATCTTCAAAATGCAAAATGCAATGTCAGTCGTTATCTACTGTCTTCTTGATTACTTCTCTATTGTTCTTGATCCTTTTTAATGTTTGGCTTGTTTTTCTTTTTCTTTCACACTCAATAAACCCTTGTCTTAGTGGATTTACTGCCTTGCATGGGGTGTTATGATTAAAATATACGACAATTTTATTAAGACGTTTTTTTTCTTAATGTGTCACAGACATTTTAAGTGTCTCTTTTTGATTTTTAATATGATGGTCATTCCAATGCCCATTTTCCTTAGAACTTTCCTATTGATCACATGTTCTGTCTATGTTATTGTCATCGTCCCTCCGTAGGTTCAAGTCTCTTCATCGTCTGTAAGAAAATTGATATCAGAATTGATATTGCGTAGCAGGTCAGCACTCTTTTTTTGTTTTTACACAGGTTTTCTGTTGAAACTTGTCTAATGCATGGAATAATAATGCAACACAAAATGTACTTAGAACAAAATGTATTGGACAAGAAAGTGTACACAATATTTACATATAATCTTTTGTATATTCCTGGTAAGACCGTTCCTGGAGAATGTGTTGACTGAGTCGCAGTCGGGCAGAGTCTCTGGTTGAATCTCTTGATTCCTGTATTTATCTATCCACCCACGAGGTTAAAATGTGGCACAAGGCCGGTTTAAAGTGGGTATCTCCGAGCCCGTAGGCTTGGTCAAAAATATGGACTTTCTGAATCCGCCTAGACGGGTTCAAGGCCTGTCTACCACCCCGGACGAAACCCTGCCTCTCGGCAAAGCCTCGTCCGGGTCCCTCACTGCAAAATGCAGAGAGTTCGATTGAGAGTGAATCTTGATTCCTCCCTCTCTTCCCGGTACCAACCATATTTATATGGTCAGTACTCCACTATGCAAATTAGGTGGATCCTACCACAACATTTTCTTATGAGCTAAACGTTATGACACGTTGCATAGTTACATTTATTTTTCAGCTGTGATCTAAATGTCGGTGGACGTCACACGTTTAAATGACTTCATTTCAAATAAAATAGAACCGCATTAATTTGAGTTTATAAACATCAACTTGGTTCAACGATAGGTAAATATAGATCGTTTATATTTGAGTATATAAGTATTTACTTGATGCGGAAATAGATAAATGTTGGTTGTCTTTATTGGAGACTATAAGCAATTACTTGGTTAAAGCATAGCCAAACATTATAAGTGAGACTTTATGAATTTACATAAGCTCCATCTGGATCAATTTTTATTAAGTTTTTAAATATTGGTTTAAGGTTACTCAAATATTGGTCACTTATATTTAAGTATATATGCATGTACTTGTTTCTTAAAGTGATAATTATTTGTCATGTACACCCTTGTGCAAATTAATTATTATTTTCTTTCGTATTTTTTCAATGACACATGACCCTGTTAGTACTTTGTATGTCCATTCCACGAAATCGTTTCTTGCAGACTGACAGCACATTCTCGATTGGATTTAAATCAGGAGTGTTTCCGGTTCAGTCTATAGTACTTTCATTTGCTCACTGGTAAGGCTTGCCAGTGTGTCGTGTAGCGTTACAATTTTTGTACGCTTCCTTGGAGTAACGTTCATCCCAGACAATGGCCGTAGGGCAACTAATCGACAGTCAAGACAATAGTGTCTGGGCGTAATAAAAATCTGATGCAATCACGGATCACGCAATATTTTTCAAGGCCAAACAAATTTCATCATACACCCCGAAAATAGATTCATATTACTGCACACTACTGCAAATGACCTAATCTGAGGAAAAAATAGAAATCGATTACACTCTGTCAATACAGGAGGTCTAAAACTGACTGTATGGTGAAAGAAAAGAAACTAAAACTGTTGTTTCAATTAATTTACACAAGGGCGTATATATTGGAGTGTATATATATATATTCTTCGGTCAGTGATACATATGTATTAGCAATTTGTATTTGAATATGCAAATGCTTGTTTCAGAGATAGGTAAAGATTATACATTTATATTCGAGTGTTCAAATTTTGATTTGTTTCGGGGACAGATAAATAACAGTCATTTATATTTGCCTGTGCAAATGCTTAATTGGATTGGGGACAGATAAATATTAGTTATTGATGTTTGGATTTATATAGATTCTTTCTCTTTTGGAAGAGATATTCAAAACTGTAATTTGACTAATAAATTTATGTCTTCGTTCGATATTAACAACCTGTTTGCCTGTGCCCCTATTTCAGAAACGATAGATATCTTTACAGATCTGATATATCGTAAGCCGGATATTTCCACCTGTCATTTCGAAAAATATTTCTGTCGAGTTACTACGATTTGTTGTGACGTCTGTTGAATTCAGTTTCAATAACACAATGCATAGGCAGATCGACGGGATTTCTATGGGTTCAACCCTAGGGCCTACTTTGGCAAATATTTTTGTGGGTTTCCATGAAAATCGTTGATTTTCGGAAACTGTCAAACCATTAATGTATTATCGCTATATTGATGACACATTTTGTCTCTCTGAAAATATAACGGAGGCAAAATTTTCTTTTCATTACTTAATGATATGCAACCGGAATTAAATTATACAATGGAAATTGAGACTAATTCTACTATATCTTTTTTTGGTTGTTTTGGTAACTAGAACATTATCCTGTTACATTACATCAATCTATCACAAACCAACCTTTACTGGATTGTACATTCAATGGGATGTATTCTGCCCTAACAATCGAAAGGGAATCTAATTACTATCCTTAAACATAGAGCTTTGATGATTTGCACAGAATATAAATTAGATGAACAGCTAAAAACAATTTCCAAATCTCTAGCTAACAATGGGTACCCTTTGGATGTTATTAAGTCGGTTATGAATAAGAAAATCTCTAATTTTTCTAAACTTAAACCAAGTACGGCTTCTAAATGTCTTGTTTCTTTGCGTTTGCCCAGGTTGGGTTCAATAAGTGGGAAATTAGCCAAACAGATTAGCTCAGCAGTTAAAAATTGCTATTTTTCTGCTAATGTGCATGTTGCTTTCTCTACCAAGTCTCTTTGGGTGTCTGCCCGAAAGGACGCACTACCTTCCCACCATATTAACAATGTGATATACCAATTTGGATGCAGTTGCAGAGCCGACTACATAAGTAGAACAAACTTACCGTTAGACGCACGAATAAATCAACACATACCGAGAAAAATTAGGAATGGTACATTTCAATCTGGTGAAAAGGTCAACAACACATACGGCTCCGACATCGCTGAGCACTTTATAAATAATCCAAGCTGTGCCACCAATTTCAGCATTGACTCATTCACCATCCTTAGTCATGCTCATTCTTTGTTTCATTTGAAGGCATTGGAAACGATCTATGTCCAGACAGCCCTCCCTCTGTAAACAGAGGGAATGCCTGTTAGGGTTTGACATTATTTCTATCTGATTGTTTTGCCTTTATTTCATTACATACTTCTTATATTTTATATTGAAACATTTAGTCTTCCCTCGATTTCAGTTCTGTTGAGTGAGGGTGAAACCGGTCAGCTGGTTAAATTCTTTTTTTCAATCATGAATGGTAAATTTCGTTTTGACGCTTTTATTTCAATAATATAGATAGATAGATAGATAGATAGATAGATAGATAGATTGTTTATATTTAAGTGTGTCAGTGCCTACTTGGTTCAGAGCAGGTAAGTATTACTCATATTTGAGGTTTAATTGCTTAATTGATTCAGAGATAGGTAAATATTGGTCATTTAGATTTAAGTATATATGCCTGTATTTGTTTCTGGTAGTGACAAACACTTGCTATCTATATTGGAGTCTATACAGGTAGTATTAGTCGATTCTGTTTGATTATACGAATGCTGGCTTACTTCGGTGTAGGTAAGTATTAGTCGCATATATTTTAGTGTGGTAAAGCGTACATAATTTAGAATACGTAGGTATTAATTGTATATATTGGAGTGTTTGGTTTGGTTTGGTTTGTTTTACGGCATATCAACCTCAATGGGTTTTTTAATGCCGTCAAAATTTTTATTGCTGGTAATGTATTTCTTCAAAAATCTATTTATGGAAATATTTTTCCTTAAAGAAGTCTATAGCTTGTCATATTTTCTTCAAAAAATGTACAGCTGTTTGTATTGCTGGTATTTTTTAAGTATTGCTGATAATAATTTTTCCTTCCAAAATTATTGCTGGTAATAATTCTTTTTATTACAAAGTATTTCTGTTATTAAAATTTATTTTTACACAAATTTGAGTATTAACTATTTGCCCATAGGTGGAACCCTAATAGGTGCTACCACCCCAGGTCAGGGTGGACCTGGGAACACCAGCAATTAAGAGGTGGTTCCACGCTCCTCAAAACCTCCTGATCAGAGGCCTTGCTGCTGGACGTAGTTTATCGTCTTATCCAGGACGCGGATGTAGTTTATCGTCATACCCAGGTCGGATATTTGAGAGTACAAGTGCTTACAAGGGTTGGTAGAAAAGTACATAGGCAAATACGAAGGCTTGATGCTAAGGCTGTGACATCTTACATGCATTAATTTAATCTTGCATTGTTTCTTTCCAGGCAAACTTTCCAGATGAATACTTGTCATGTATATTGGTATCTATATATTGCTGCTGGCATATGCTGGTCGTGTTTTAGGTCAGCGAAACCCGTGCCTCCTGATATATTTATCCCACAACAAAAATGGCGGACTCAGAATGTGAGTCCGGTTAATAACATTAAAAGTAACACGAAAACGATATATATGAAC